ATATTGGGTACTTCAAAATTACAAAGTTTAAGTTGTTACAAAATAAAATGCGGTAAATCCGTACAAAGTTGATATATACAATAAAATATCACACTTTATAATACATTACAGGTGTTTTATCTCGATAGAGGGCGCTAAAATTAAAACTATCGTAATAAACAGTCATATTTCTGACTTCCCCATAAAATTACCTTTTCAGTGATGTGACGTATATGAGACATTCCTTATTTAAAATTAAGGGGTTAGAGAAGTAGAAGGGAGGGGGATGACACATGACAGATGTATGTATATCAAAATGTGTTCAATTGGGAATAAAAATCGACTTGTTTTAGCATTTTCTAAAAATCCAATGATTAATGCCAAAAAACAGAATGAAACTATTTTGAGTGACCCACTCTGTAGGTATATCAGAAATGGCTAGCTTTATCGAATTAGTTTATAGAACAAAATCTATTTAAAAATGCATTTTTTACAAGATCGGATTAAATTTTTGACGTCAAACTTTTGCATATAAATATTATAACGTTTTGCATATTTCGTCGCCTTCTACTCTTAAGAAACACTTTTCTTTTCATATTAGCTCATTAATGCCATTTTAAACGGTAATCTAATAACACGAAAGCTTTGGCTACATAGTATCAAATCAAATAGAAATGCGAATGCAACTATTTTACCATTAAAAGTTTGTCAACTATGTTAATTATTGAAATTTGCATATACATAGGTCATAAAGTAAAATGATCACCATGCGAATTCAATCTGCAGACGCAATCTAAAGTTCGCGAATAGTCATCAAAATAAAGATTTATTACACCCAACGTCTTCGTAAAGTGAATTTCACATTCAAGTTGATGCATTTGCAACTACATATTCAAGATGTTTGCTACATTACTTCCCTGTGAAGCTTTATTTGAATTCAGTTAAGATGTCCCTTAGTTCTGCAGGAAATCACATGATTGCGACATAATTTTATTTGCATTTTGTATGCAATATGTATGTTTAGTTTTTAAATTTAAAAATTAGTATTATGCACTGAAGGAAAAGTTTTACTGAAATTTTTCAGTAAAAGAAGTTAAAGTAAATAAATCTTTGTACTTTCCTGGAAAACACCTTCAAATATGATAGTTGCAACAAGAAAAATATATTAAACTTATATTAACTGGCATTAAGAATGGAAATATTCTTCCAGAATGTAATTTTGAAAGCCTTTTGTTTATTTTAGAGCCTTATACTCTCATTTTCTGTTATAATGATTTGACAAGTACGTGGAGAAAATCGTAATTGCTTGCAATTGGATCTTTATAAGCAACATTAATCTACCCGATCTATCATATAATTAAAAATAAGACAGATATGATAGGAAGAAATGAAAGTTATCCACATCAGAAGTATGGATCTGGTGACTACCGCAAATGAATTTCTTTTGATTATTTCTAAATTTGTTATATAATTTAATTTTGCTACTTATTCGAAATTTATTACTACGAAAAACGACTTACAAAAAGAGCAATAAAAATTAAAATACAAAACCGATCCATTCCAAACCTAGCAGTTTGGTGGTAAAAGATTGCCTGATTGTATTTCCTAAATAAAAAAATTAATCTTCCTTTACTGGATATAAAATTATATCTATCCAATAAAAAAACTTTTTGTAATTTCACCTATGTAATTGCTTCAAATTTTGAGTTAATAGTTTACTTTGATAAAAACTTTCTAATCGTTTATTTTAATTTAAACGTAACCATCCCATCGTAACGAAACTAAATAGTGTCTCTCCAATTACATTATTTATTTCTACGTGCAAAAGGTGGTTGTTCATTTTCAATTAGTAAAAAGAAAACAAAACCACACATCGGTTTTGTTTTACACTTCAATTTCCCGACATCAATTTAACACACGAGCCACTCCAAGAGAACGTTCTTCTTCGTTTAAATGAAAATAAAATAATTGAAACAATTGGATTCTACTAAATCAGAGCAAGTGTTACACTACTCCTGACTGTTGTTGCCTTTTAAGGAGAATATTGAGCTAGCAATTAACTGATAGAAAGCCAATTATTCGAATTACTTTCTTGGAACAACAAAGTGGAACAAAATAATTTAATGATGTTTTTATAAATAGAAAAATCAATGAAAGAGCTAGTTTATATTCCTCTTAGTTACATCAGGTCTACAATTTTAAGGATAAATGTACCAGTCGGATATTTTTACTGTGAGTGAAATAATGTCTTCTATTATAAGTATAAAGTATATTTATTTGTAAAAAAATAAAATAGTTGGTTCTCTTTGAATGACAGGTTAGACAGTACTTACCCCCAAACCACCATTCCACATCGCAGATGACTTTCAACTAATGCAAACTATAGTATTTTCATTGTTTTTATTTTATTCAGGTACTTAAATTTATGTACAGTTGATTGTAATTTCCTTATTACAAATTTTATATGAATGTTCCATTTACGCTGATTATTGTTGATCACTCCAATTATTATATTAGATATTTGATATTCTTTTTAGCATTAACTATAGTAGGCAGAATCATTGTTTTTAATTCTGAGTTGCTGATATGGGCAGATATTTGTGTTGTTGCAGCTAAATTACGGTTTATCCATATTTATGGTTATAGTAGTTTATGGTCGAACCATTTATTCAAATATAGAAAATTATTTTCTGCTTTAGGCACATTTAGGCCAATTAAAAATTCAAATTTCAAATTTTTGCCTGTTACGTACTATCTTTCAACTTTTTTGATTTTTTTTTTATAAAGAATGAACCCAAAGCCGTTACAATTTTTCGATGGACTTAAAGGCAACTTTTCCACGTCCCAAGCCAACTAAAAATTTACACTTTAATTTTTTGCTTATATGTTATCACTCCACTCTATTATTCAATATTAGCATTTTATCGCAAATCATTGTTACGCCGCTGCATAGGAGAATTATGTATAATTCTAGAAATACATTGTTGCCGGTCGACCCTGATCCTTCGATGAGTCACCATCATTTAAAAATTGTTCGGTATATGCAGTGTGTCTACTTAAGTTGGAACCAGATGGAAATTTTCTTATTATTAATTTTAAGAAAAAAAGTTATTCCTGATAAAAAGTCCTGCATAACCCAAAACATAAAATACAGTCATCAGATATCAAATTTTTCAAGCCGTATACGAGGTATGTCAAAAAATATGAATTTTGCTCATAAAGTACGTCTATTTTTGAAAAAATCGAAAATTTTCATTAAGAAAAGTTGTTTAGAATTAAAAATTACATTCAAATATGCAATTATATTGATCTATCTGAAAAATCAAATTTTTTTATTTTTTATAAACTTTTCTACACATTGTTTGTAAATATCTGAAAACGTTATAAATTGCGTTAGCTTTTGAAATATTCTCTCTTTCTTCTCTACTATAAACATGATACGCTTTCCTTTTCTTGATGTTTGTGAAGACATTTCGATTTTGTCAAAAATAAACTTTACTACAAATTTCATATTTTCTGACAAACCTCGTATACGGCTTGAAAAATTTGATATCTGATGACTTTATTTTAAATTTTGGGTAATGCAGGTGACTTTTTATCAAGAAGAACTTTTTTTTCCTAAAATCAATTATAAAATTTTTTCCATATGGTTCCAACTTAAGTAGACATACTGTATAACAAAATACCAATAAAATTATGATATATAGCTCAACAATACCCTACAACCGCGCTTTAAGATATATAAATTCCAGCTACTCAAGTTTACTTATGTGTTATTGCCTCTTTTGAAATAGAAATCTCGGACGAGGAAATGTCACAAAAAATGATTTGATTTGGAGGAAAATTCCACTACCGTAAAAGAATTATCTAAAAAGGCCGACATTCCAATAAACTTCATTAGATTATTATCCCAAAAAAACATTATTTTTATTCAATTTGTCTTCAGTCAATAAAAATACTTGGAAATGTCTCAAATCTTTGTTTGTTTTCTGAAATCTCGGTTTGTTAAATGATAAATCCAATTGTCCCTTATATTATATATGAAACAAAGAAGTTTCTACCTTTTTTGTTTTATATAAATTTCATTCTAGTATGAGAGAGTCAATGTTACTCTTTTCCTCATCTAGTATATATACACATTCTTTTAGTTCCTCTATTATTTTCAGTTTTCTGCCAGTTTGTTTTCCTCATATTTTCATAAACTGTACAAACTATAAAAATATGTCGGTATGCACACACCAGATATATTTTTCCGAGAAAAATAAAACATTCATAGAACACTGGAGAGTAGAATTTTATACCTGTCTGAAGTTGTAAGTTTATAAATTCTTGTTTGTTATGTTTTTAAACATTCATCAAACGTTTCAACGACTTGACATTTCGATTCTTTAGTATCAGTGATAGTTTCCATCACAATCGTGTTGAGAATATTAAAATATTCAGAAATATAAAGTTTCGTTGAGAGTTCAGACGAATCGTGTTTGAAATTGATCGGCTTTCAGTCGATGTTAGAACATTTACGGCATTTTTTTGTTGTTTTCCAGTCACAAAGAAGTATTGAATTTTTACGGTTTAAAGAGTCTGACAATATTTGACGGGATTGTTTACAGCTTTTTTAAAATTAATTATATTCTTTAGAACATGATGGAGATAATGTCTTTAGAGTAGTCTTAATGGAAATATCAACAGAAAGGACAGGGTGTTGTGGATCTAGTCGCAAGAGTTTAGATGTTTCAGAGACAGGGCATGCATGCATCAATGTAATGATAAAACCAATCGGATCCAAATAAATCCACTATTTTCACTGATTATTTCCTTCGCCTGTCAATTTTGACATTTCAACCAATGATAACGCAATTTACTGAGAAACTCAACTTATTTTGCAGTGTTTTACCTATCCTAACAAAGGGGCCACCTTGTCTGAAATAACCTATATAAAAATAAATCTTTTAAAATAATTATCAACTCTACTTACTATTATAGAACCGAACACACTTTTTATAATCATTTTCTTGTTTCAGATAATCCCTTGTGTATTCCACACTTCAAGTATCTGGCTAACATTGGGTTTAGCGATTCAAAGATACATCTATGTGTGTCACGCTCCCTTAGCCAGGAAATTCTGCACGTTGCCGAACGTGTACAAGAGCGTGGCCGGTGTGCTTTTCTTGGCGTCTTTACATCAAGTACTCAGATTATTCGATACAGAATATGCTACGGTGAGTATTTTTTTATATATTAAACTTTAAAATATTTGTTTTCTACACACATAAAGAAGTGACAACTCTAAAAAAATAAAACCAATCCCACATATAATTTTATGTTAAAAACTGTTTCGATTTTAATACACTTATCAAAAAAATATTCCTAGTACAATAACACCTACTTACGTACGAAGAGCGGTGTTAAAAGTTATAAGTGCATTCGAAAATTCGGATTTAAATAGTTGAAAGTTATTTTAACGGCTTTCAAAAGCCCTAATAACACCTCATTAAAACGAACCTAACAACTCTGTTAAATATAAAAGTTTATGTACCGTGAAATTCAGTGCTCTGTAAAGTTTTATGGCAACTTTCTGCGAGTTTGTTTACATCACTCAGATAACTGGATTCATAAATATTTGCTACATTTTGTCTAAAAACAGACTTTTCGCGGAACGCATATGTGTAAAAATCGGATGAAAAATATTTCCCGGAAAAATCTGTGTAGTTGTTAAATCGAATATAGTTTGAGATTGCGTTTCCAAATAAACGGAATTGTTTCATAGAAAAATGATTTGATTTGTATTGCGTATGAAGTATTATTGAGAACAATTTTAACTGAAAAATTATCATTATGTTTTGATTCAGAATAAAATATCAAAATTAAATGTTTATTTTCTAATGATCTTTTATGAATATTGTAAATAAGGTTCCAGATTAGAGATGCATATTCTAGTTTGGAACGAACTAAAGAAAAGTAAAGGATCTCCAAGCTTTGAGAGTTTGTATAAGAATTAAGAACCCAAACTTTTAAACTTAGAAGCAACGGTATTTTCAGTAGTAATACTATAAGTACTTCAAAATAATCAGGTTATACATCGATAACTTGTTGCATAATTATAAAGAGTGTCAGTTTGACAGTTTAAACTGACACGATTTGTAATTATGCAGGAAGTTTGAGATGTATAACCGTATTTATTTTGAAGTACGTATTGTATTTGATACGATTATTTTTTGAGTAAATTAAGTAAATATCAACATTTTGCATTTAATGATACATCTCCGAATCGACTCATTTTAAAATAATTATTGATAAACGTCAAAATTTGACGGTCCTGTTAGTTAGTGTATTGTTGTCGATGTGGTTACTACGGAAATGAAATTATTGTAAATATTTTTGATTGGTGGAGCTACTCTATGTATAATCAGGTATTATCGAAATTATACGAGGTAACTTAACTAAATTGAACGTTCTAATTGGTTAAAAGTTATACGAAAAAAATAATCAGTATAATCCGAAAAAGTAACTTTTTGGTTAAATAAATAAATCTTCAATTTGTGCACAAGTCGATTTACCTTTCTCCGCACAACACCTCGCCCCTCACCCAGGAACGTGGTCAAATTGGGCTAAGCCATTTTACATTCGTCTGCAATTTTTCACTTTAGTGTCTATTCCGTCTGTTCAGATGGCAGCATCTTATGGGCCCTACATTTTTAAATCTTATCACAAGAATCCTGAAATAATTAGGCAAAAATAAAAGAATGCATTATGCGTTTTAACTTTTAAATACTATAAAAAATGGTGGAAAGTCCATAAATTTTAAATATTTGTTAAATATCACTTATTAAAATATTATGCATTAAACTATATAGACTTTCCATCATTCTTTACAGTATTCTGAATCCATTTTTGAAAATATTATCGTTCAGAGCTGTATTTCTTGTGATAAAAAAGTCGCCGTCACTTATCATTGACAATGCGTTGAACTTTGCGTTAAGCTGCTTTATTTCATATATTCCCTGTATATAATATTTAACAAAAGTTCTTTGAGACAAAACTTCCCAAATTATTTTATAATTTGCTGCACTAATTTTAATGATCTAATTACTTGTTTATAATGATGATTGTAAGTAATTAAACTTTTGTATTTTTTTATTTAATTATTACAATTAATTAACCTCTTAAATATGTTTTTAAATTCAAGCTACTTAGTATAATCATTGGAATTCTTCACAAGTACTTCCTTAAAATTAAATTCATCCCTAATTGACTCATTTTTCTTTTACCGCAGCTTCTTTTTACTTCTCGCACCAATCCATTTATATACAGGTTATAGTCGTTTATTATTATGCAATTCTCGTGGTTTCAGATTGTTTTCACATGAAAAATCATTAATATTTCCAATAAACTGCTGTAATAAAATCTAGTGAGTCTACCAACGGTAATTTTTGAATAACTTATATAATATTACCTGACTAGAAACCTTTGAGATACCCGGTATATATAAAAGTAAAATAGAACTAAGGAGTGCAACATATCCATAATTTGTACTAAACTGAATTATTGTACAGCAGAAAGAAAAATAAAGAACGATATAATATTTTCCAAATAAATTTGAGAATAATCACATACAAATAATTGGAATAAGTTTCCCTAGTGGAAATAATAATAAAACTTTTGGATGCAGCTTGATTAAAAATTACTGAAGCCCAGTATTACATCGACATTACCTGAATGAAAGCTCAAATTGATGATCATTAGGAGCTGATCTTTGGCCTTGCATAAAAGTAATTTCACTTTAAGTTTTCTCATTTCCGCAAAGTACCGTTAGGTCATTAAGTACACACAGAGTTTGCCCTACAGTTTTCACAAACAAGAGATAATTGCACTTGAGTGCCATTAATGAACCGTAAAATTGATTTGTTGTTAATAAAAAAATAGCGAAAAGATTAATTATAGAAAAATAATTTCCGGTCGTTTGTAATTTGACAGGTTTTAGTCTTATAATTTTATTTCAATGTTTTCTTTAAGATGACTGTTTTATTCATAAAAATATTTAATAGTTTGAAATAACAATGTTCCTCCACCATAATTTAAAATAAAAAAAATGCATATATGTATTTTATACACTTTTTTTTTAATTTCTCCGTTACGGTCCATTTTAGAAAAATAATTTTTGGTTGTGTGTAATTTGATAGGTTTTAGTCTTATAATTCTATTTCAATATTTTCTTTAAAATGACTATTGTGGCCATAAAAATATTTAATAGTTTGAAATAACAAGGTTCCTCCACCATAATTTAAAATAAAAAAAATGTATATATGTATTTTATACACTTTTTTTTTAATTTCTCCGTTACGGTCCACTTTAGAAAAATAATTTTTGGTTGTGTGGAATTTGATAGGTTTTAGTTTTATAATTCTATTTAAATATTTTCTTTAAGATGACTGTTTTAGTCATAAAAATATTTAATAGTTTGAAATAACAAGGTTCCTCCACCATAATTTAAAATAAAAACCGCATACACCATAATTTTAAATTTCCCTGTGTTATCATCAAATATTTTGCGCTTCCACCAAAATTTTAAATTTAATTTGTCGATTTTTTGTTTTTCAAATATACTTGAATAGTTTTATATCTTTCATATCTTGTTAGTTATGATAAATTTACTAAATTAATTAATCTTTTGATGCAGCTCATTTTAAAATGAACTATATTAGGCTTAAGTAAGTTATGACTGCATAAACTGAAATGCCCGTCTTTATTTTTCAATGAAATTATTGCGTGCAGACATCAGCCAGTCTGCGATTTTGGAAGAATACTTTTTTATTCGTGGATGCAAAACTGCAGAACGTATATTTGTTACTTAGTTGCTAACTAGAGGCAGCACCTCTTTTGCCTCTTTTTGGGAGGATTTGTTCAGATTTCTATCTTCCCTTACACGGCTTTACTTAATAGTTTACTTTTTCTATTTTTTATGATTTTTATGAAGAAAAAGTGTTGCACTACAATTTTAATTGAATTGATTTCGAACGTTACAGTTCTGCAAATTGATAAATCGTTTAATTTTAAAAAAATTAAGTCACAAATTTAACAATAGATATGAATTAGAAAGTAAGCCAAACTTTAGTTAATATTTTGTAGCAAACGCGCTGTATGTAATAAACGAATATGCGAGTTCATAAGTTTTTAATGCACTAAAAGCCACTCATCTAATCTGCTAGATTATGTAAAAGTTTCTAGGTTAGTTGTTGAATTTTAATCACAATTTTAAAACTAATTCGAGGATATACAAAGCACTATTCATGCTTAAAACTAGAATAGGACGAGGAAAAGTTCGTATAAACATGTGAAATTCTCTCTGAATAAAAATGAAATTAGGTCAGGTAGTTTTTGAGAAGCGGCCACTCAATTTAAATTCTAATCTTTTGATATACTCTTCAAAGTACTCATGTCTGGAATGTTGGCAACCAAAGAGAATGGAAGAGATCCAAACTCTCTACGAATTAATGTTAATGGAAATTACATCACTTGTTCATACATTTTTATTGTTTTATTAAATAAATAATTTCATGGTATGATAATTTTATTTGAAATAAAGATATATACTCTGTTGTAATTTTAATATCACACACAAAGCTTGCTATATTTCGTAAAAGAAGATCCTGCACATTTATGGATCATTTGATTTGTTTTCTTTATTAAATTTACGAAAATGTTGAAGAAGATCTACAGTAGCAGTTTTGATTAGAATTTTCACGAGATATATAAGAGGATTCTTTATTTTCTAATACCATAATCTTGTTTTCTAATTCATTTTGTTTTTTAATTAAATCACCCATCATTAGCTTAAAATTCTGATTTAAATCATTTATTGATTTGGAAAGAATTAGAATTTCCACATTTTTATCAATAATATAAATGTTGTTAAATTTGAAAAATTTTCAAATTTGGTTAGCTGTATCTAACAAATCTTTAGTAGAAGATTTTCCAGGTACAGTTAAAGAAATATCTATAAATTTTTAGGAGTCTTCATCATATTTTTAATAATAAATGTTTATGAATTATAGAATCACCTGAAATCTAATTAGTTCTCTATAAAAATCTGAAGGTTTTTTATCGCCCATTTCGGCTTTAGATTTGTCTAATATTTGTTCTTTAGAGAGAGAAATCTGTAACTGATTCTTTTAGGGTAAAAAATACATTATTTTCTGATACTTTTCTCAGAATGGATTCTCTATGTATTTGAACCATAGATCTGGTTGATGTGCCCAAAAAACTGGAAATTTAACTTTCGAAATGTCTCCCATAAAAATATCTTTATGAACTGAGTTGTGAGGTTCTTCGGATGGCAATGTCGACATTTGTAGATATATCAATTATAAGATACCCTAAAATAGTATGGTTTAGAGTATAGTAATGTTAACAAAACATAAAAGAAACTGGCAATATACTATTTTTTATCTACTTACCTATTAAAAAAACATATACCTATCAATATATGCCGAGATTTTGCCTAAAATATTACAAAATAAATCAAGACGCTTTACTAAAAGATTGTAAAATTTTTAAATCAAAATTTGACACCCGTATATCCTAAAAGTTAAATAAGAATTCCATCAAACTCCTTTGTTGACCTTTATAAATCCATTTTATATCTGGGAGAAACTTTAGATTCACTTTTCCAATAATGTAGATGTAAAATAAAGTTGGAAGTTTTTTGAGGGCGAGCCTAGAGCGAATATTTTAGAACAGCCGCGTGGCAGAAATTCAATTACCGATCACAACGTCAGTGAAAACTTAGATGATGAGTTAGGTAGAATAGGATTACTTCTAATACTACCGAGGTTATGAAATTAAACAGAATAGTAAAATCGCCAGTTATATCCTTAATATAAATAGGTTAATTCAACCTCAATGACTTAGGGGGTAATGATTGACAATCTGTGTTATTTTATAAACATACAGAAATAACAACCTGTTAAACATAACATTATTTGTCCATCATAAACCCGTTATTGTTTGCTAAAAGATTCACATTGAACACGGCCCTGAATTAAAGTACCTAAACTGCTTGTTTAAGCTCCTCAAATTTTGAAACAAAATACTTACAACTAATTAAATTGCGAAAATGACTGTTCTGTATAGAGAAATCCTTTCGAACAAAAGTTCTTAATTAATATGTAGATGGAAAATTTTCCTTTTAAGTTTTATGCCTCAGTAAACTGAAGATTAAGCTCATTACTTCCCTTAATTCCGACTTGTCGGCAACTTATCCTCTTAATGGGTTCTTGGATTATTTAATTTTGTAATTGATACTAGAAACGAATACCGTTGTTCTCTAATTATCTGGAAATTGTTCTGTCGACGAAAAGTTTAAAAGACAAATACAGATTCTATTTTATGTATCAAAGATATTTTCTTAGCTCAATGTAGGAGTTGGATTTATGAATAGTTGAGCAATGGTGTATCAGAAACATTTCTAAACCAAAAATTAGCTACTTTTTAAAATGTGTAGTTATATTTATTGTTTCTACACTAACATAATATGGGTGCAACCGAATTGGGCCAACTACCTGCTATAATCCGCGGTAACTGCTTGGCTATTTTAATCCTTTAAACTCATTAAAGGACTAAGTCGCAACCTGCCCTAGATATATCAACCCTTTCCTCCGGCAGCTATTGTTTGATAGGTTGTTAAAATGCCTAATTTTGAAGTACTGTTTGACATTTTTTTATTCCTGATAAAGGTATTTAATGTTTTTCTAGTTTCCTGCTACCAAAAATGTCATTTAACTTTGACATATGACTGGTGTCATTCTTGTTATTACTTACTACGGATCGCAGACAATACCGTGACCTTGCTAGGGATGACAGTGTGACATCGCAGAATAAAAAATCGAGGCAACAGAATTCATTTTTTCATTCCGTGACATGAGGCCACCGTTCTAGTCTACGAACCGTGGATTTGACCTGCGTTGGACTCGATTTTGCTTTCTAATCTCATGTCAATCAGTTAGTCTAACAAATAATAATATAACAATCTGATGCTATCAAATTATATTTATGTAAATGAGTCTGCAAAACTTGGAAATATTTTTTTTTCAGTAGAATGTTGAAGTATAGTTGAGTTAAAAACAGTTCTATTGGAAATAATTTATTTTCTTTCCATTGTTTTTATTGGAAAGGGGCCATGAGTGGGATGTGGGATGATCCCTTATAGAGGTAGGATGAAGTTTTTATTGTTACTGTTTCATTGATGCGTGTAAGTCTGGGCGAAGCATTGGGGAGATAGACAATAATCGCTACTGATGTTTTCTTGATTCTTGTTTTTCAATTTTCTAGAGTGGTAGGAATTGTCTTTCGATTTATCAAGCCGAAATACACATTAGTAATTGTTTTCGTAAGAATATAATAGATATGTTATTGAAACTTTTTAGTTTTATCAAGGAGGCACAGCTGTATTATATACCGTGGAATAAAAAATAACAAATATCAATAAATAGAATTCTGATTTTATTTCAGAAACATTTTTTTGTAGGAATTATATAGTATGGCTCGATATTATACTGACAAGCTTTTAAAGGTGGTAGGTGCATCAAAATAAACATTTTTTTGCTTAATGAACATAATAATATGTCCGAAAATGCTTCGTTTTATTTATTTTAAAAGTTTAATTTGATGTCCCCTCTACAATCCCTAAAAGTTTGATGGTATATTTACAGGACCCTTTGTATATTTAAATCTGTACAATGTAGGTACTCATCAGATTTCTGTTTATAACTGAAAATGTAATAAAATATAGTTCAGAAGTTACAGGAAAATTATTACTGAAAAAAATAATAATTACCTTTATAGATTTCTAGTTATTACAGAACACATTATGGGCATTTTTTGCATTTGATACTTTTATTTACAATTTTTTTAAAATCAAATATGTACAACATATTATAAAATAAAACAAATAATTATGGGCAGGTTGTACAAAGAATATTGTAAACTCAGTTTAGATAACAGGAGTTTTATTTTTAACTGGTTATATTCAAAAAACAAATGTCATTTTTAAAACTATGTTTAACAAACTAAATCTACATTTTAAATGCCTATTGTACAACCCGCCATAGGTACAATTAAAAATTAATTGTATTTCTTCAAAATGCATTTGATTCTGTTGATCAAAACCATTTGATAAAACAATTAAAAAATATAGACATAAAGGTGGTTTTTTATATCTATGCTATGCATTGAAGTAGCGGGTAGATTATCTAAACAACAGGACAGAGAGGTTAAAATTAAATAACATATGCAGTGGGATTCTCATCTTTCGGTACATCTCCTATCGAAACTTCTATCTATTCTGTTCGCACATAAGAATCGCTGTCCTGATCAGAAGAAATTAACCACATCAAAGGTGTTACACAAGAAAAAAATCTTCTGTTATTTTTTATTTATATTAATGACATTTTTGGTGTCCAAGCGTCAATATGACATTTACCTGTTTGCCTATGATGTCCTTATGTTTCTTGTAAGCTGTAAGGATTCAGATAACTTAATAAGAGTTTTTAATGAAACTCTGCAAAATGTTTATAACCGGTCCCTGGTTTCTACCATATCTTGAAGCTGTCCTTTGTAATTTAGTTAAATTTTCATGCTACTTCTACAGTTTTTGACGAAATCTCTGATGATGGCCTAATAGGCTGAAAGCGCTTAGACTAATTTTTACAGAGTTCTTTTAATAAAACTCAATTTACACACTTTAAATACTCTCGATTCATTTCTTAATACATTTTTAAATCTTAGTACAAGTTTCCTGAAATAATAAGGCAAAAATAAAAGAATATATTTTGCGTTTTAGCTTTTGAACTATAAAAAATGGTGGAAAGTTCATAACATAAATATTTGTTAAATATCACTTATTAAAAATAAACTAAACTATAAACTTTCCACCATTCTTTATCGTATCCATTTTTAAAAATAATTTTTGAAAACATTATCGTTTAGAGCTGTATTTTTTGTGATAAAAAAGTCATTGAAACCGCATTGAATTGGGACTTAACAATAAAATTTCTGCTGAGCTCCCGATATGCAGGCGCTTGGACTATTGTGCACCCAAATGTCAAGTTTCTTGCTACATTTGTCCACCTATATATAATGTTTTATTTTATTCTAATATTGTCTCATTATAATTTTCCCTAGTAGACAGATAATATGGTGATTCGCTTAATGTTTTTTTCACCATTCTTTCATAAAGAAAAAATATTCATTACAAAAAACTATTACACATCGATAACCATAGGCGTAACATTATAATGGGTTCACAGGAATTGCATCTATGCGATAAAATATAATTTTCTATCTATTTTTGAATATCGGACACAAAGATTCTTATCTACCCCCATGTGATAAAAACTATTTTACAACATTTATTAATTGAATCACAACGGAAGGAAATTTCTAAAGTTTCTTTTTAATTGTGATTTGGGGTGCTAATTTAGATTTTACTGTAACTGTGACTGGTTATGGTAAATCAAGGTATTCACTAGCCAACATACAATTTGAGATAGCAGGAAGTTTAGGGAAATTACTAGTTTTTTTTGGTGTTGGTATGGATTTTTTTACGTAATATTGGGGTTACAAAAAAATAATCTATCGTTATGGCAACTCTTATTAGGTTGATTACTTTTTGTTGTTAAAAAGTGAATTTTTAACATTAATTTTTAGAAATACAATGAAATCAGACGCTAATTTTTATTTTTAATTTTTTGCAGATCGATATAATATGGAACAACACAACAACTTCAGTGTGCATCAGAAGGCGTGCAGAATGGATAAACGAATACATAAACGAAGATGGATATTTCATCACATATTTTTTATTCCGTATATTATTCGTTCACTTGCTTCCTTGCATATCCTTAGTAATTTTAAATCTTCTATTATTTAGAGCTCTTCGACAAGCTCAAAAGCGAAGAGATATATTGTTATCGTCGAAAAAGAGCCAAAAAAATGAATGTAAAAAATTGAGGGATTCAAATTGCACTACGCTCATGCTTATCGTAGTTGTTAGTGTTTTTCTTATAGTTGAAATACCGTTAGTAGTTGTGACGATTCTACACATCATTTCTAGCACTATCAGTGATTTTTTAGATTATGAAATGGCAAACACTTTAATATTGTTTACTAATTTTTTTATAATTTTGAGTTATCCTATTAACTTTGCCATTTATTGCGGTATGTCTAGACAATTTAGAGAGACTTTTAAAGACTTGTTTATAAAACAAGTCCCAAATGCTAGAAATGGTTCTTCTAGATATTCAATTGTCAATGGTCCTAGAACCTGTACTAACGAAACTGTGTTGTAAAAGGCATATAAAACTCAAATGAAATAAATGACGCTTAAAAATGGACTTAACCTTTGTTTTGTAAAATGTATATATTATAAATGTATAAATAATGTACCTACGAATAATTTAGTATTAAGAAAAATCCAACTCTCTGTTAAAATGTAGAAATTGCTAATTTTGTAAATAGAGATTTAAAACAATTTTTTTAATGTCAATAACTTTCAAAAAACCGAGCCCTAACTTGAAAGTAATTGACAAAAAAGATTTGCAGGGTATTAAACATTTCATTAGAAATAAATTAGAGAGTATGTAGATAGGTAGGCACGTAGATACTTTTTATGGTAATTTATGTACTTATATAGGAGAAGAATAGATGTTTTAAATAAATCATTCTCCAATACTGTTTGTTTAATAAATAAATGTTTTCAGTTTTGTTTTTGTTATATTATTCCCAAGTATACCCTAATTTTTCGTCTCACAGGTAAGTTCTTTTTTAGACTATGTTTATAAATGTTATAGATCTCATAAGCGCACACAAATTAATTTAGATAAAAAAATATAGATGAATGAGGCGTAATTTTCCAATTACACTACGTGAGGACAAACTTTTACATTTAATTTATGCTCAGGTGATGACGCATTAAAGTACTTTTCAATAAATTTGTATAATGAAATAAAATTTAAATTTTACTAAGAAAATTAATAATTATGTAGGTAAAATCTCAAAGTACCCCGCTATTGCAAAGTCTGTGCCATTCAACAGTGAACAATTATATTCATCTTTCAGCGCCATCTGTTTTTGCACATAATTCATCATTTATTATATAGATAGCGGTAGGAGTCAATAAGCGCGGGTTTTTCAAACTCGGCCTTTCTAATAAACTAAGTTCTTCAAAATTATTCTTTTTCACTTAAAATAATAGACATTTTATTCTTCACTCGACATACTTATATGGATATAATCAATTTGGTTATGTTCTGTGAAAGTTAAAAAGAAAAATTATAATTTTGGATTTGTTGCCCAAAAAATATATCTTATAATGAAATAAAACACGATTATAAGCATATATTTTATAATATTAGAAATAAAATTGCACGAATTGTTATAAGAGTATACAATGACAAAGAAATATGAAAATAAAAATAAAAAGTTTTCCTGTGGCTGTATCTAGAAGTTGTACGAAAGTTCCTTTGTCAAGTTTGGTCTGGATCCCTATTATTGTCCTATACTTCCAGGTGTTTTTATTCTTGTATCTTTCTGTAAAAAAAAGAACTCAACTTGGCGGTATCCGTACTTTCTAAAATAAATAAATTGATATAAAAACGGTAAGTAATTATTTTTCTTATACACACTTTTTAAAATGTCTTGCTGATGTCTACGTCTCTCTATGTTGGATACTTTTTAAGAAATGTGCTCTAACTTTTTAACTAGCCCTGTTAGAAGGGAACAGAGTATATTTTTGAGATCTTGACGTTCCATTCTATACATACGCCGATTTTTTTAAATTTTTTTTCCCAAAAAAAAAGGAAAGGGTATAGCCTTCAAAATTTTTTGTTTTGTCTCCGATTTCAATGAAAATTTGGCTACATATCAAAGAGAAAAATGCAAATTAAGGGATGGATTCAGTTGCTTCTTATTGAAAAGGGCTTTATTTTTTTTTTAATTTCCTCAGTTATTAATAATCGAATCATTCTCTAAACATTTTCAAAACGTAGAGCCGAACGGATATAATAGAGTGCTCTTTGTAGTTCGTCTCTATCCCAAGCCGTTTAGGATATATTCAAGTTTTTATATCCGTCGATTTTGCGTTACCCTGAATGGCAATGACAATTTGATGAAGAAACTTAATTTTGCGTTACCCTGAATTAAATTAGTAATTTGATTGAGGAACTTAAATATCTCCTCGCTCTTCTGCTATCCTGATACCAAAATTTTGTTAACGAAATTGCAACTTTTGATAGTTTGAAACAGAAATCGAGTAAGTATGGAAAAATGTTATTTCTGCTCCGATAGAAGGGAACAGAGTATATTTTTAAGATCTTGACGTTCCATTCTATACATACGCAGATTTTTTTAAACTTTTTTTCCCCAAAAAAAAAGGAAAGGGTATAGCCTTCAAAATTTTTTGAGAAAAAATTTTTTTGTCTCCGATTTCAATGAAAATTTGGCTACATATCAAAGAGAACAATGCAAATTAAGAGGTGGATTCAGTTGCTTCTTATTGACAAGGGTTTTATTTTTTTTTTAATTTCCTCAGTTATTAATAATCGAATCATTCTCTAAACATTTTCAAAACGTAGAGCCGAACGGATATAATAGAGTGCTCTTTGTAGTTCGTCTCTATCCCACGCCGTTTAGGATATATTCAAGTTTATATATCCGTCGATTTTGCGTTACCCTGAATGGCAATAACAATTTGATGAAGAAACTTAATTTTGCGTTACCCTGAATTAAATTAGTAATTTGATTGAGGAACTTAAATATCTCCTCGCTCTTCTGCTATCCTGATACCAAAATTTTGTCAACGAAATTGCAACTTTTGATAGTTTGAAACAGAAATCGAGTAAGTATGAAAAAATGTTATTTCTGCTCCGATCTTCATGAAATTCGGCACTACGTTACAGTAAACGATTTTAAATGTCTTGCTGATGTCTGCGTCTCTCTATGTTGGATACTTTTTAAGAAATGTGCTCTAACTTTTTAACTAGCCCTGTTAGAAGGGAACAGAGTATATTTTTAAGATCTTGACGTTCCATTCTATACATACGCCGATTTTTTTTAAATTTTTTTTCACCAAAAAAAAAGGAAAGGGTATAGCCTTCAAAATTTTTTGAGAAAAAATTTTTTTGTCTCCGATTTCAATGAAAATTTGGCTACATATCAAAGAGAAAAATGCAAATTAAGGGATGAATTCAGTTGCTTCTTATTGAGAAGGGCTTTATTTTTTTTTTAATTTCCTCAGTTATTAATAATCGAATCATTCTCTAAACATTCTCAAAACGTAGAGCCGAACGGATACAATAGAGTGCTCTTTGTAGTTCGTCTCTATCCTAAGCCGTTTAGGATATATTCAAGTTTATATATCCGTCGATTTTGCGTTACCCTGAATGGCAATAACAATTTGATGAAGAAACTTAATTTTACGTTACCCTGAATTAATATAGTAATTTGATTGAGGAACTTAAATATCTCCTCGCTCTTCTGCTATCCTGATACCAAAAATTTTGTCAACGAAATTGCAACTTTTGATAGTTTGAAACAGAAATCGAGTAAGTATGAAAAAATGTTATTTCTGCTCCGATCTTCATGAAATTCGGCACTACGTTACAGTAAACGATTTTAAATGTCTTGCTGATGTCTGCGTCTCTCTATGTTGGATACTTTTTAAGAAATGTGCTCTAACTTTTTAACTAGCCCTGTTAGAAGGGAACAGAGTATATTTTTAAGATCTTGACGTTCCATTCTATACATACGCCGATTTTTTTAAATTTTTTTTCACCAAAAAAAAAGGAAAGGGTATAGCCTTCAAAATTTTTTGAGAAAAAATTTTTTTGTCTCCGATTTCAATGAAAATTTGGCTACATATCAAAGAGAAAAATGCAAATTAAGGGATGAATTCAGTTGCTTCTTATTGAGAAGGGCTTTATTTTTTTTTTAATTTCCTCAGTTATTAATAATCGAATCATTCTCTAAACATTCTCAAAACGTAGAGCCGAACGGATACAATAGAGTGCTCTTTGTAGTTCGTCTCTATCCTAAGCCGTTTAGGATATATTCAAGTTTATATATCCGTCGATTTTGCGTTACCCTGAATGGCAATAACAATTTGATGAAGAAACTTAATTTTACGTTACCCTGAATTAATATAGTAATTTGATTGAGGAACTTAAATATCTCCTCGCTCTTCTGCTATCCTGATACCAAAATTTTGTCAACGAAATTGCAACTTTTGATAGTTTGAAACAGAAATCGAGTAAGTATGAAAAAATGTTATTTCTGCTCCGATCTTCATGAAATTCGGCACTACGTTACAGTAAACGATTTTAAATGTCTTGCTGATGTCTGCGTCTCTCTATGTTGGATACTTTTTAAGAAATGTGCTCTAACTTTTTAACTAGCCCTGTTAGAAGGGAACAGAGTATATTTTTAAGATCTTGACGTTCCATTCTATACATACGCAGATTTTTTTAAACTTTTTTTCCCCAAAAAAAAAGGAAAGGGTATAGCCTTCAAAATTTTTTGAGAAAAAATTTTTTTGTCTCCGATTTCAATGAAAATTTGGCTACATATCAAAGAGAAAAATGCAAATTAAGGGATGGATTCAGTTGCTTCTTATTGAGAAGGGCTTTATTTTTTTTTTAATTTCCTCAGTTATTAATAATCGAATCATTCTCTAAACATTCTCAAAACGTAGAGCCGAACGGATACAATAGAGTGCTCTTTGTAGTTCGTCTCTATCCCAAGCCGTTTAGGATATATTCAAGTTCATATATCCGTCGATTTTGCGTTACCCTGAATGGCAATGACAATTTGATGAAGAAACTTAATTTTGCGTTACCCTGAATTAAATTAGTAATTTGATTGAGGAACTTAAATATCTCCTCGCTCTTCTGCTATCCTGATACCAAAATTTTGTTAACGAAATTGCAACTTTTGATAGTTTGAAACAGAAATCGAGTAAGTATGGAAAATGTTATTTCTGCTCCGATAGAAGGGAACAGAGTATATTTTTAAGATCTTGACGTTCCATTCTATACATACGCAGATTTTTTTAAACTTTTTTTCCCCCAAAAAAAAAGGAAAGGGTATAGCCTTCAAAATTTTTTGAGAAAAAATTTTTTTGTCTCCGATTTCAATGAAAATTTGGCTACATATCAAAGAGAACAATGCAAATTAAGAGGTGGATTCAGTTGCTTCTTATTGACAAGGGTTTTATTTTTTTTTTAATTTTTCTCAGTTATTAATAATCGAATCATTCTCTAAACATTTTCAAAACGTAGAGCCGAACGGATATAATAGAGTGCTCTTTGTAGTTCGTCTCTATCCCAC